CAGCGACATGAGAAAAGAGGAATGGAATAGTCGAAAATGCTTATTTAATATTCTGAAAGGAAGCCAGATTTTGGGCGAGTTATTGTCTCTCACTTTGATTTAAAAGTACATGAAGAGCCTAGCACAATTGTATCTGGCATGTGCGAGCATCCCAGTAACATCACTAACATGGGATACCCAAAATTAATTACCAGGAAGATCTTGGTAATCTCGGTAATTTCAGGGACAGGAAATTTTTGTCTCTCAGCTAAATACCTCCCTCTTCTTTCTCCTCAATTCTAAACAAAAGTTCGAGGCTATTTTTATTGTGCCTTCAGCACGATCGCTCGTATGACTTAAATGTTTCCTCTGTCTTCGGGAGTGCTATACCTAAAAGCTATTAAGCTTGGAAAGTAGCTGCTTATCAGCTGAATAATGCTCAAGGTTATTATTGTTTCCATCATTTTCCTGGGAGTTTCTATTACATTTCGTGCATCATTTTGATTTACGCTGTCATCATTTCTTATAACTAGCACTATTGGAACCCTCAGGACAGGATATGTAAAATCGGAAAACCGGTGTATTACAAACTTCAAAGCATCACGTTTTATACTGGATACACCATGTTAGTGATGTTACTGTGATGCTCACACAAATTGGGACCACCTTTGTGAAGGCCATTCATTCTTAGACTACATACCTCTAGTTAGTACCTATCGGTCTATTCAGTGTATGTGCGCCATTTTTTCGAAGGCCAACCAATTGGTCGTTTACTTTCTCTGGATACCACAGACACACTGATGCATGTCGCGTTTACTGGTTTTTGGCAGAGCGAGAAAAACTTTTATTTCTTTTACACTGTTTCAAGTATGTGATATAAGAGATAACTGAACAGCTGATTTTGCATATATGTAAACGCAAAAACGCATATTTTGATAACCCATTGTATGCGCGTTTGTGTATGCCGCTGCCCAGGTGTTTCAACTTGCGAGCGATTGAAGCAAGCTCCAGCGTCAAAATTTTGCTAGTGGGTTCCTCGGTCAACTGCCAAAGTTTTGCCTGTGGGTTTCCCGATGTTGATTGTGAAATGATAATTCAGCAAATTCAATGACACCGGTAAAAGTGATGTAAATAGAACTATACTAGATGACAACAACGATCTGCGAATAACTCTCAACAGCAGCTAATTGCTTTAACCACCTTTTTTATGCTAAAATTTTCTTTCAGTAAGAAAGGTGACTCGATGTTGCCGGTTTTTGTACTGGATATACGAGCGATCCATTGTGATACAGTACTGCTGACCAGTTGAGCCACTGCATAATTATTGTATCAGGTATTCTTGCATCATCATCATCTGTTCTGTCTGCATGTAATATATAAATCACATCACCGTACTGACCTTGAAACTTATCTTGCTAACCATACGAGCCGTGCGACAGCTCTCGACGACGATGCTGTTTCCTGAATTAACGGACATTGAAGCTGGCGATATCGTATTTTTCATGAAATCTTTGGAAAAAACCGAGAATGGCGAATTCGAAGAAGCGATTGTCACGGTTGCAGCCCAGCCGATAGCGCATGTTGGGATACTTTCCGGTACTGTTGGCCATTGGTCATTGATTCATGCTGTTCCGGAATCCGGCGTTTGCGAGCAGCCGTTGACGGATGTGATGCAAAAGATTCGACCGTCTGGGGTTGAAGTGCGCGGGGTACAACTTCCGGTGACCACACGTACCACCGCATATCAGTGGGCAAAATCGAAGATTGGCGCAAAATATAACGATATTTTTTCCGACGAAATGCTCAATTCTACGGGCAACGAAGCTTTTTACTGCTCTCAGCTGATTGTTAAATCGTACGAATTTGCCGGAATTGCAGATTTCTCCCCGCAGCATCAACTTAATTTCACCGGCCCAGATGGGCGAATTTTGCCCTATTGGGAAAATTACTTCAAGAAACTTGAACTGCCAGTACCACAGGGTGCACCCGGATCGCATCCGGCAACACTGATACAGTCTAAATATTTAAAAACAAATTTTGCCAGAACTTGTCATTATTCAATGGCGAAATTTGTGGTACCTGCAACAATCGATTCGGCACTGCATTTTCTGAATGGAGCTCGTGTGGCGCTCAAATCCTTGAAACAATTCGAAGTAATACAACCTCGAAATGGTTTGCAACTGTTTTTTTTTTCTTTTTTTTTTTTTTTAAAAAAACATTGGTTTATCTGTTGCAATCAAACGGGAACGTTAAGTCTGACGGACATATCGTGTTGTTCGTTTTCCGTTGAACGTAACAGGTTAGTAAGTGGGATTCGTAAGGAAGTAAAATGACCGCTCAGGTGGCCCACGAAAAAGTAGCGCATATACCTCGAGCAGGCGGTGAGTACTAGCTAGCGCTAGGCAGAGCGGAGTCAAAAGGCCTGGCATAGCTACAGCGGACATTTCGGAGTATCTAATTAATATTATTGGCATTGGATATCCACACTGATAGCCGGGGGTGGTCTTGATATCTTTGATTTATCTCTTTGTCGATTGATACTTTCGACAGGCTGTGAAAGATTGGAAGGCTGTTGTCACTGACTGCCCAAATATCCAAAAGATGGGGGCTAGGATTGAGTCCTGAAAGAGAGATTTTTATGTTCCCGAAACAAGTGATACTTTTGCGTTCTTTTAATAGCACATATCTGCTGGGCAAAAGTGTAGCCAAAAACGTATGCTGAAGTTTCTCTTCTGGTTTGTCACGATCTCTTCCCTTTCTTTTCCTTCCCCTCCTTTTTTACAAAATTGCCGGGGTATTTCTGTGGTATTACAATGGCTCCATATCGGTGCAAAGTCGAAAAAAAGACTTACGAACGAATTACTGCTGCCATTTGGGAAGAACGCTCGTGACTCTGTTCGGAACTCAGACTTTCTGGGAGAAGTGGAAAATTTTGAATCGCGAAACTTCTTAGTTTTATTCCTTTTTAGCTTAAAAATTCGGCTACTGTTCCTAAACAACAACAAAAAAGTTTGCATAAAATTAAATAATGGTTGATTGGTTGGTAATTTTTCTAAATGCATTGACCAGTGCTGGCATCGCATGCCACATCCCTTCGCTTGGTGGACAGCCTGCTGCTCGCGTGGCGATCATGACGCTCGCTTCGTAATAACTGATGATCCTTGGAACAGCTACACTCAGTTATAAGCTTTCAAAGGCCTAAACGATTTTTAAGTACGAAATTTTAAGGTTAATTTATTGTGCATTTTGTGCTATGCAACAGTTGAACATAACGCTTATTGTCACAGGGTTGTCTGCGTTTATGTGTACGTGTGTGTGTGTGTGTATTTGTCCGATGCATCTTGTTGCTTATTCACCGAAGTCGATAGAATACTGCAACTTAGTCAAGAAATGGAAATATTTGAGACGAGATGATAGTATTCAACACGCAGCGACAACATCTCCAGACGGTTAAAACCTTTTCAAATGCTCTCGCTTTTGGACGCTTGTCGAACTGATAAAATCCTTTCACTCAGATGAAATAATCGTCAGAATTGCCAGCAGGCTGACTGATCACTACACAATGCAGCATTGGTCAAAGCAACTGGAAATGTTGTCAAATTTGCATAACTGGGCAAAAAATTCAGGCCGATTCGAAGTGCAATAAATTAGGGTCGATTCAAGTTCTTCCGAAATTTTGATGAATTACTCTGACCCTGGCACTCTTGATAATTATTAATATTTCAATTACAGGAAAGGTGCTAGTGCATTGTGCCGCGGCATCTACTGAAACAGTCGATGAGGCGATTAAGGATGCACGCCAGGCGCAACCATCCTGGGCGGCACTTAGTGCGCAACAACGCGGTGCTGTTTTGCGAAAAGCTGCTGCTATTATTCGGGTATATCGTTTCCGCGAAAGCTATGATCAATTATCAACATTTTATCATGGTTTCCTCGAGAATTTTTTTGAAAATTTCACAAAACACCATTTGGGGTGAACTTCACGAAGTACCACCACTTACTGTTCAAAACGCATGACAAACTCTGGGAGGCGTAAGAAAAAATAGAAAAAATTGAGTCGAAAAACCTTACATTGGCTGGGAAATAGCCGCAACAATTGAGGTCACTTTTCACAGCCGATTAATGAACAATTCGGGACATGTGTCGTCGTTTTTTCAGCCCTAAATCGGCTGTTTTTTAACACTTTTTAAGATCAGAGTACCATGTTTACTCGTCAGCAAACACTGTTCCTGGAATCTTTCACTGTTGTTTACTAAAAATACTAGAACCGACCAGATGATGATTGTATGTATCCCATGTTAGTGATTTTACTGTGATTACCATCCGTAGGTGCGTGATTTCCATCAATGATATTTATTAGGTTTTCATTTTGCCAGCTTATTTTTAAAGCTTTTTCCATACAACTGTTTTATGGTTTGTTAGTAATCATGCTAGTTCAACAGCCCATGCAAATATGCTACAACCTAGTAGTATCAAAAACTCGACTACGATACTTGGACCTAAGTAATCTTTCCGGCTATGCACTTCCATATCCCATATAACTGTTCATTTCTACTCTGTGTGAAAGTTGGAAATCCCGACATCTTCCGCCTCGACCCAAACGGACTTTCAGTAATTTAATCCGAGATTTAGGATTGTTCGGAGAAATTAGCATATTGGGAGACGGTGGACTGTGGTAAGCCGATTGAGGAATCACGCTGGGATATGGCCAGCTGCGCGGATTGTTTCGAATTCTTCGGCGGTGCTGCACACAATCTCGCTGGTAAGCTTCAGCTAAAAGTTTCCGAAGAAGATTACTTCAGTTTTGGCTTTCTCAAAGTGGTTACCACTGAATAAGTATATATTGAGGTATTTAACTCGCAGGCGTTTTTTATTTAGCTAGCATTTCCTCCGATTGTCCCTTATTTTGATGTGTTTTACTTCATCATCACATCTATACACAAAGGAAACATCCCCCTCCCTTTTGCGAGGTATCATTGGCTACCTGTCTAGCAATCGGTACCACGGAATAATATGTATTGAGGCGTCTGAATTGAAGTTTTATTAACTTAGCTTCCCTCATGACCTCTCTATTATCCCGTAGTGACCATTGGTCATTGCAGGCAACCATTTTCCTTTGGGTAACAATAATTATGCATACACGGAACGAATACCGTGGGGTGTTGTTGGTGCAATTGGTGTTTGGAATTATCCCTTGCAAACAGCATCTTGGAAAATCGCTCCAGCACTGATGTGTGGAAATGCTGTTGTATATAAACCGTCACCACTTGCTCCCGTAACTGCCGTATTTCTGGCGCAAATTCTGCAAAATGCTGGACTTCCGGATGGTGTACTCTCCGTTTTACAAGTAAAAAATACATAATTTTTTTCAAAAAAAATTACAAGCCGGCGGACATTACGCATTATGACCATGGTACCCGCAAAAAAATAACCTGACTGCTCGGATGGCTCTCAGAGAGATGGCGCACATACATCAAACAGGCACTGGATGTTAACTGGAGATATGCACCTCAGGACCGAAGAACCTGGCATAACTGTGCCTGATATGTGGAGCATTTCTCATTCAGGGGTCACTAACATGGGATACCCACATTCTGGATATCTTTATGTTCCAGGAATTAATTTTTTTTTAAAGACCATTTATTACTTTCGATCACCACTGTGTTTTTACCGGTGTACTTTTTTACGCGCTCATTCAGCTCCCCCTTCCTCTTTCACGAAAATATTCGAATAGTTGGTTCCATCTTACGTCCTTCACTGAATTTTGGATGGATAAAGAATGATTTTCGGGATAGTAGTTGAGAAGAGGAATGAAGAATGATAAAGATAATACTTTTGATTACTAATATTACCAAGAGGGGTTGCCTTGTTAAGATTTGAGCCGATATCTCGAATTTTTCGTGTGGATTATCCCTGTTCGTTTGTTTTTTTTTTCGGATATGTTTAGCCCTGGCTTTTGCTTAAGAGCGTTGTTTTCAGTCAAATTTCTTGCTCAAGAGTGTTTTCTTCCCTAATTAGTTTTTTTTTTTTTTTGCTTTTTTTCGATTTCCGATTTAATAATCCAAATTTGAGAAGAGAAAACGAACGTGAGAATCACCAATAGGTTGGCCGCCAATCGATGCAACACAGGAAAAAACAAGCAAAAAGTTGAAGTACCACGCTATGAACTGTAATTGATCAAGTTGCCAAGTCTATGAATTTTAGGGAGAAGGCGATACCGGGAAAGCGATCTGTGAACATAGTGGCGTTGATAAGATAACATTTACGGGTAGCACGGAAACAGGCACGAAAATCCTGGCCTCCTGCAGTCTGCCAGGGCGGTTGAAACCGGTCACGCTGGAACTTGGCGGAAAAAGCTCAGTGATTGTATTTAAAGATGCGGACATCGATATTGCTGTAACAGGCGCACTGATGGCAAATTTCTTCTCGTTAGTTCTGCTTTGTTTCTGAATACCACTACATAAAATACGTCTAATTCATTGTCAGAAATACGTCTACAATTCCCGTACAAAAAATCTGAAGTTAGGGCGTTTAGTTTCCTAATTTTGTGGAGAATTAAATGTATGCAAAACGTGGTCATTCACGAAAGTTGAAAGCGAGTGCTGGCTATGACGGAGAGAGCAATGGAGCGAAGAATGCTTGGCGTATCTCTTCGAGATCATATAGGCAAATTCTTGATGAGAGATGCGGAGTTTTGCAATTTTCCAGGTTGTGTTATGTGAAATTTGCCAGGAAGAAATGGTGCTTGCTGTTGCACTGCGCGATATGATTTTTCCCCAAAATGTTTTTTTCAGCCAAGGTGAAGTATGCTCGAATGCGTCGAAAGTCCTCGTACACCAGTCCATCTATGACGAATTCCAGCGAAAGATTGTGGATTTGACGAAAGGTCTAATTCCCAATGATCCGCTACTGGATGGAACAAAAATTGGCGCTACCATCTCCAAAGCACATCTGTCAAAAGTTAAAGCATTCATCGATGGAGCCTGTCGAGAAGTTTGAGTTTTTTTATATTTCGGGAAAAAATGAAAAGCATTCATCAACAATAAATAGGATGGCACTCAAGTGTACTAGAAAATACCGAAAGGAGCCGGAGACGAGCATGAGGGCTAGGATTAAAAATTTTGGTATTACTACGTCTTAAATGTGGATAGCGATTCTGGCCAGTGGTTAAGCGTTTGATTCTGCCGGTGAGAAAATCAATCCTTTTACGATTCATTCATTCGTTCCGATGGTAAATTGGTACTGGCATATGCCTGTTAGTCATACAGGCCATTAGTTTACTTTTAAGTAACCTCTAGTTACTTCTGGAGTACTCTTGTTTCTCAAAAAAAAGCGGATCCGAAGAAGCTTTGATTTGTGAATGCGTAACAGTCAGTTCAGGTGGAGTGCAGTAGTGCATAATGCTAAAGATTGTAATTTTCAGATATCCTGGAATTTTTCGCCAAAAATTCGCACTTTCGAAATGTTTCTGACTCATTAAAGATTGAGTGTTTGCGTCCTGGAATATCACTGGAAAATTCCAGGGCTAAAGATTTGGCGGGATTGTTGAAAAACACCTAATGAAGATTGAGTCAGCAACATTTTTCATTTCCAGGGTGCTATTTTGCTGTGTGGCGGGGAAGAAGTGATAGTGAATGGTCTGGAAGGGGGGTACTACTTGTCCCCAGCTGTACTGACCAATATCACCGAGAATATGCGAATTTACCAGGAAGAAGTATTCGGAGCTGTCATGTTACTTATACCATTTCAGCAAAATGAGGTAATTTTTTATACCCGTGTGGACAAAAATTCCCAAAGTTGGTTCTTGCCGTATTTTTGAAATCCAGTAGTTTCAGGATCGCCAAATTATAAAGAATTCTATTAAAAAAACCAAATGAAGTGTGTTTTTTTGTCTTTGATCAGCACAATCTATTCAGTAAAAACTGATGCTAGGGATACTTGGATTCCCCGTAATCTAATTCGCTAACTATGTGTCTTGAGCATTTCTAGTTCTGCGCAGTGCCCAGAGCTTATTGCTGACCATCCTGATGTTCATTTCCTCTCCTCCATTAATTGCCAGCTCAGCGGTTCCCCACCAACAGAAACATTTTGCAAGTTTATAGCCGTTTCGAAATGATACCATCCCTTCCTCCACGATGTGGCTTCTAGAAATTGATATAAATCAAAATTTCAGGATGCGATACGGATGGCAAATGATACGCCATACGGGCTTGCTGCTGGCCTTTTTACAAGGTTCAATTACTTATTCAGTAACAGTGAAAATAATGGTTGTAATGACCATAATATTAGTAATAAAAATAATAATAGTAATAATAACAACAGTAATAATAAATAATAATAATAGAAATTGCACATAAGGGAAACTGCGATGGTAAAAATGTGGAAAAGAGAAATACAACGAAGAAAAAAGTGTAATTAGCTAAAAATGAGTTTTTGACTTACTGGGTCATATACATTCCTTTTCAGTACCACAATTTACTCAAATTTTTAAGCACTTTTTAAAAAAAAAACTTTTCAAAATAAGAATTCAGAACAGGATTTTTCACTCCTCCGTCTTTTTTTACAGGGATCTACATCTTGCATATTCTGTTGCTTCGAAACTTCATGCGGGGAACGTTTACGTGAACACATTCAATGACACAAGTGAGTTGTTTTTCAAGTATTTCTACATTAACAGTTTAGCTCGTTTCGTTTTGCATATTTGTGCAATGCAAAAACGCATATTGGTAAAAGACTGTATGTGTGTATGTTGTGTGTGTGTGTGTGTCCGTGTGTCTGTGGTTGTCTATGTTCGCATTTTGTCACCCACTTTCAACTCAGCAACCAGAGGAGCTAGTTTTACATTACAGAAGTATAGCTCAGGACCAAAGGACCTAGCATAGTTCTTTGGGAATTTCGTGTCATTTTTTTTTCCTCAGCATTCATAATGAAGGCAAGTCGATTATAAATTGAAATTCCAGATTCGATGATACCATTTGGTGGTATGAAGCAGTCCGGTTTTGGACGTGAGAATGGTGTAGCTGCTTTAGAAGCTTTTTCTCAAATCAAAAGTGTTTTTGTTAATGCAGCCAACAAGTTGAACAATCCCTTTTTATGATAACGTCTTTCAGAAGTAAGTTGTGCATGTTCCTCATCCATATTGTTAACAGAATTATTCTTCTCATTCACATAGTTACTTTAGCATTCCCCTCATTCTTGCATTTAAAGTGCCTTGCTCATAGGCGGATCCGGGAGGGGACGGTGGCGATGGGTTTTTGCCCCCCCCCCCTCCCCCCTCCCCCGCCTCCTCCTCCCCAGCGGCACAGGTATCAGTGATACAAAAGTCAGAGTCCAAACCTAAACCTGAAGAAAACTCTCCCGCAGCCCCCATCGCTCCCCCCTCCCCTTTCCGGAGCGCCGTCCTGGACCCGCTTATGACTATACTCTTCATTCTCACAGTTAATTATGCTCC